AGTTCTACCTTGGCAGACTCAAGCCTTCAGTCTCTTCGCGACAGGAGGATTTGCACGTGATATGAAATTTTTACGAAAACTTGTGCACGGTGGCCTCGTCTGTGATGAGCTGTTGGCGTCGCTGTGCTTCCGTGTTCCATCTGGGAAAAGCTGTAAATGTCTTTACACGTTTTATGCAGATATTCATTCATAGAGTCCAATGATACGGTTACAATACGCATACAATTCGATGTTTTTGCAAGTTTACTTTTTCAATTGACTTTTGATCTTAGTGTGTCCGTACCAACGACAGTCTTGTTAGATGTTACATGTTATATTGACTCTCTACTGCCCCCGGCAACTAGTACCTTGTGTGCGACTTCCTATTCAAGCCACCATGTAGATGAAAATGTGTTTTGCCCAATAGGCCTCACGTCTGTAAACAGGCATTGATTAAATTATCTATCTATCTACCTATGGCCAATCATTTTTTTTTCGGGGGGGGGGGGGGGGGGGGGGCGGGGGGCGGGGGAGGGCTAAGGTGGCTGGGATGTCCATGACTTGAGGTGCGGCAAGGAGGGGGGGGGGGTTAAAAATGCATGTGTATACTATAGGGTCGGCCGGATCTTTCGCGGAAAAGGGGGGGGGGGGGAGGGGGCTACAAACTTGTGTCTATCATAAATACTCCACTCAGGATACTGTATATCTCAAATACTTTTGATGGTATTTTGGAATCTTGCGAATACATTTCGTCTAGAGTATTTGCTACTCTATTTTAATTAAATTTTTCACAATCTTGTACCAGAAATACATATTTCAACCTTTAAAAAAATGTGTCACCGGAACAATCTACGGAACTAGAGATCGTCAAACTTCAGGGCAAAGCCGAACCGATTGCAAACATAGAGTCAAGTGACCGAACTCAGAACAGGAAACAAGGCACGAGCAAAAGGCAATTTCCATATTAAGTGCGCTTTTTTTTTTTTAAATATGTTTTTGAATGGCACGTCACGCCTGGATCTAGCAAATTGACGTCATCCGGATTTTAAACTCAGACCCCACCTTTTGTCTGAGGCTAGAGTGGTTCCGTCAGCGGAGGATTGTGACGGCAACGCTCGGTAGGATAACAATGGACCATTTTCGGAAATCAACGGTTCCGGAAGTTCTGGTATGAAAATCTGCGAACACGTTTTCATGCGAGCACAGACACTGTCTTGGCCAAACCTAGATTGGGCTTTCCCAAAGCTTCTTGTGTGCTTTTGTGGCTTACCCTTTTCACACAAGCTCGTTCAAAAGCGTTTCTTTCATCTCCTTCTGAATGCGTGCATTGCTTCATTCTCAGGATCCTCGAAACCAGTTTTCCGCCAGGTGGAGTCAGTTATTTATAAGATAGCGGATTCTGATTTTGGAATCTTGTCCATCTTGTCCTCAATGAGTCAAGAATGGTTTGAACTAGTGCAGAAGGGGACATCGGAAGGGGGGTTAAAAGCGGTCTCGTGGACACTTTCCTGTGTTACCTGTGTTTCCATCTTGACCTTTCTATTTCTTTTGACACTTTGAAGGTACAGGTGTTCCTCCTTGCTTTTGATTGGGGGGACAAAGTACTCGCTATTGGTTGTTGATCGGCGACAGAGGCTGCTGTACTCGAGTCGATGTTCCTCCTGAGTGTGCAGGTTTATCCTTCACACGCGTACTTATCAACGAGTCTGGCTGCCTGATCAACTTCTAGTTCGGCTGTTAGGAATTTATGCAATGCCGGACTACATGTCAAGTCCCCCGGATCGCGGGAAGCCATATTAAGAACTTATTGCGGAGGGCGCCATGAGGCGAGCCTGCCTCCAAACTAAAGCACGTGAGTCCCGTTTGTTGCTAAAATGTTTTGGCACCCATTATGTTGCATATCCCGAATTATTTTAAAGTAAATTTTGATTGCAGCAGATAAAGCGCTTCTGGAAAGCTACAAAGATCACAGCAAAATGTACTTTTCAACGAAGTCCTTACAAATAGATCACCCCTTTCTGATTTTTTTGTTTTTATATTACCAGCTTGCAATTCTTGCCAATTATCTTCGAATGTAATTAAATTACTTTAACAAAGCATTTGCATTCTACTCAATGTAGTTCATACTAAAAGTAACTTGAATACTTCTCTAAATACATTTGAATAAGGGTATCTAGTATCTTAAATACTTTTGTTGAGCATTTGGCACAACATTAGGCTGAAGCCCCATAAGCCCCCCTGGTAGCAGCGCCACCTTGCACTCATCTACTCTGCTCACCGATGAGCTGACAGGGCGGCGGAAGCTGCGTGCTGGTTGTGCCAATCACTTGCCGGACTTACTAGGGCACGGTGAGCGGGGTTCGGCGATAAAGACAGGGGATTGATTGGTCTGGCCAGAACGAAGCTTCCACTTCCTTAGCGGTACACTTTACCTTCGCTGAGCGGGAGGGAGCGTGCGGACGAGGGCGAAAGCCTAGAAGGGCGGGAGTAGTTCGGAATGGGCAGCGCGGAGTGCAGATGTGGCGCTGCTGTCAGCATACATATGATGCCGTGGCGATTTGTGGAAAGGTACCGAGTGTGTGGGAACGCTCACGGCCGATGGAAGAAGCGAACGATCGCCGCACCTCCCCTTTATCGTCCACCATGTCACAACACGAGGGGAGGCGACGCCACCCAGCGACAAAGACGTGACTTTTAGAAACGAGGAGCTCGTGACTCTCGAAACTGTCCAAATGTGCAACGAAAACTTCCGGGGCCTGGCGACGAAAAGAAAAACAGAGGAACGGGGGATTAAATACACACCGCGAATAGGGCTGAAACTCTGTTGTTTTTGCCTGGATATTTTAACCGGAAGAGCGGCGTATCACATGCTTAAATAGGCCGATGGGGGGGCCAGGATGTTTCCATGCTCTGACTCTACGTGGTTTTTCGAATACGCCTTTGTTTCAGCTTAATTTCCGTTGACGTATCTGATGCCCGGCTTGTGCGCTAGAAACTTATTTCGGCCGCAAATTCTATTAGTGTTTGAGAAATACAAAGTAATGTAATTAAGATATTGTAGATGTTCACATTCAAATTTTTCTTCAAGGTACTAAAATACCAGCAAGACTGTCACAAACTCTATCTTGAATAGAGTATCAGAAGGTACAGTTATACCAGAATATGTGCACTCTTGAATACGTGTTAGTAAACAATTTAACTAATCTTGACTGGGAACAACTTTTCAACTTAAGTAACAGCCGTGGAGACCCCATCGCGCACTTTAATTAACTGTTTTTACACAAACAGTTGACATTGTTCCTTTCTTAAATTAAGGAAACATAGGCTGGTTGGTGCGTTTGTTAAGTATCATTACTAGCATAATGTGCGATTTGTTAATGTATTACGTGTCTAAACAATTAGTGAGAGCAGCGTTTGAAACCCTTTTAAGAAAGTAAATGGACTTTATTAAACTGAAACAAATTAAGAAATACAACCAGAGCTCGTTTTAAATAAATGTATTGCTGCCCAATTCGAAACGAAAACATTGTTGCCACATTGAAATTGACGACCCTTTTCAGAATAATACCTATGTGCCCAGGTCACTTTCTTTTGGTCACAATACAAAATAAGACATTATTGTGTAACACAACACGGAAGCAGTAAGTTTCTTTTCGTTCTACAGGGTTAAACCACAAACTGCGTGTAGGCTTCGATATCACAAACCAGTTGCTGGTAGCTACTGGCCGCACGTTCCGGATAGCAGAGCAGCAGCAGTACAAGAAAGTCAATGCTTAATGTAGAGGAGTGACACGAGAGTTTTGCAAACAATTTCTTGTCCTGCAAACCCTATTCCTGGTAAAAGAACTGGTTGCAAACGATGTTGCAGTTTTGGCGCTTTGGCAAAGCGCTTGCGCCCGCCTAGCCATGCTTTATGTGGGCTTGGTTCTTCCTTGAGCAAACAAGGGAAATGTGGACTGCATGAGTGAGTTCACAGCACGTCCCGGTACGATCGCGTTTCTGGCGGTGTAGTCATAAATGCCATTTGACCACGTGACACGGATTTACAGCGTGTACGTCAGGCAGTGCAGCCTCGAGTATTCAGCTTCTGTGGCAGGACAACCGAAATGGACACACCAAGTGCTGCCGTTATTTGCGGCTCATTTGCTAGCTCGCCATACCAACCCCACGGAAAGCCTGTTCACTGTTCAATGGCAGCCTAAGGAGACAGGCAAGCTCGCCGAAATTTGGCTTGCATTTTTCGGAGCGCGAAACGATTGCTCACCGCAGCTGCAAATCGCGTTCAAATATATTTTCAGCCACTTTCTGCCGAAATGCATGTCTCGTAAGAGTGACCAAAAGGGCAGCTTGCTAATAATGATCGAAAAATTCTCATACATTTGCGCACCCATTCTTTTACGTAAGGTGCTGTTTTGCTAAAACTAATTTCGAGTGCTTCTTGTTTTAGTTCGGAAATATATCTTATATTTTGTGTTTGATTTTGCATTACACAATCACATTTGGCCTGTGTTTAGCGCTTCAGTAATGAACAACTGGCCTGAATTTACCTCCACTTACCTTGATTCAATGCCAGTGACAAGAAACAAATATGGAAATCGCATTGTCACTTGCAAGACAAATAGCTAGACAGTTGCTTCAAGTAGATAAGATCCGCGCTAGCAATATTGGCACCAACGCGCCACGAGAGTTGATGCGCTATTGTTATAGATATATTCCGTATAGGTAAACGGCCGAGCAGCCTTTGGCTTTGAACAATGTCACAACAGTGGTAGTTTTGAAGCATACAAAGCAACGTGGGTGCTTATTTTGAACGAATGCTGTCACTCCTTGCTGCGCGGCAGAGCTGTGCTGATCAGGACGTTCCTGGCGTCCTGGTCACAGAAACGTCATTGTGTTGCGGCCAAGACTTTGACATCATCTCGACAGTTCCTCTCTTGAAACAGAGGGTTTGGAAGCGAATTGAGATGTGTCGGGTGGAAAAGAAAATGCGAGGCTTTTGCGGCGCGCACGCAGGGAAGGGCTCAGAGGGCGCTGTCTCTACTCCTGTGGGTAGGGCTGCTCTCCGAGGGCGTGGACTCGACCGGCTTGGTCTGGTAGTAGACAACCACCGAGGAGGTGGACGCGGCCGAGTCTGGCCTCACGTTGCACTGAATCGAGCGGATGGAGCTCTGGTCAGCCATGCCGTAGCGCATGTGCCACCAACCCGCCTTGGGGTTCTTGAAGACGGACCACTCGCGGTCGTCGGTGGTCTCTTTGATGGTCTCCATGATCTGCTCGTCCAGCCTCACGGAGCGACAGTAGAAAGCAAGCACAAAACACACTGCGCAAATCCCGATGCCAGTCCCGGCGATGATCTTGCCCTTGTCGTGAGCACCGGGCTGTTCGCTCGAGATGCGCAGCATGAGTCCCGCCACTGCCAGCATGGCACCGAAACAAGCGAGCACGTAACAGAAGTAAATGCAGTACATGAGGATAATGGCGCACGACCGGTCCATGCTCGGGTACTTGTGGTCGACGGCCGACGAGGGCCGTCGGGACCGGCCTCCGCCGTGGGCCGAGCGGATGGTGCCCCGACGCTGCTCGTCGGGGTGCATCCTGCGGCAGCCCGAAGCTCCCTCGGGACCTTGGGCTCCTCAGGCTCGAGGGCCTCAACTGGTACTCGGGGCTCCGAATGCTGCTTTCTGGCGCCTAGCCCCTGGCATCCGCAAGCCTGAACGAGATGGGGAAGGAGGGATCAACCTTCATGCGCTCTGCCTGCTCTCATCACTTCGTGCAGAAGGAATCAAAGAGGAACGACACAAGTTCCAATGACATCAGCCCTGAGACTGGGGCGCATTCAACGACCAAAGAACTGGACAGAAGCTTCGTGGCTGTTCTGCTTTTGTCTCAAGGCTAACATAGCATTTTGCTCACCTGCGTTAAAAAAAAAAATATATATATATATATATATTTATCCGAGTGTTTAGGGTGCCATTTGCAGTGAGGGGAACTGACCACTTTTCGAACGCATATGGCATCAGCACAGTGACTATACTTTCGAAGCAATATCAGAATTACTATATGTGCAGATAAGGTTTCGACTTGGGTATTTACATTTAACTAGAGGTCACCTTAGCGACTTGCGTTGTTAGTTAGCACTAATGTAGTTTCATAAATGTTTTTGAAGAACAGTCAACTCTCTAGGAATTCAAAATAAAACAAAACAATCTTGATCACGCTGACAAAACCGAGGTGCACAGAATATGTTGAACGCAAACCATACATGGTGTGTGTGATCTGCGCTAGGCCCACTCCGCTCACATTAGAGAGTTTTAGTAGATCGTTCCGATATCTTTTATGTAAAAAAATGTTTGTAATATAACAGGAAATATCCGGAAACTTGCAGTAAAAATAAGGAAAGAGTTCTGTTAAATTAAAATAAGACGAGCTTACCGGTAAAAAAACAGGGCTTATGTTGCTCGTCAAGAACACAAAATATTAGAAAATAAACAGTCTAAAGATACTTGCATTATTTGTAAAAAAACAGAGTTGTAGTACACTAAAAAAAAAAAAAAGAGGTCGTCTTTCTTTAAATAAACACCCTACAAAACGTCCCGTTATCTGTAGGAAAACAGAGCTTCTGTTATTCCCACATCTCAAACACTTTTGGTCAGTAAACAGAGTAAACAAAGTCAGATTTATGTCACAATACATTACTTTCCTCGTCCCTCCAAAACGAATCATTCTTAAATCAGTTAACGAAGTCATAGCTAATATAAATGATTTTATGAAGAAGTGTTTTTTCGCAATCGCAATGCACGGTATAGCACCATCGTGTTCGAATTAAATGCGAACGGCAGAGCGCATTGCCGTCGACACATGCCGCGCCTCCTGGAGGCCACTGTAAACTGCTATAATTGCGGGTTGGAAAGTAGGGTGCTGCGAGGGTGTGCGTCCTGGTCCTGCGCCGATGTGTTTGACCCTCACCTAGCACAAGCCAAGCTTCGGTGCTGCGCCTGTGGTGCGCTACAAGTTCCGCCACAGACACTTTCTTTGGCTCGACACGAGCCACGCGAGGAAGCTATCCGTTCGCAGCAGGAGCAGGCTGCTTGCGCGCGTGCCTTGTGCGCGCGTGCGTGGAGCATGGCCGCAGCGCCACGCGCCCTCCTGATTTGCGAAGTTTTTGTTTTTTATGAATATTTTTATTACGTATTCTTCAATACGCATTATTTTGCAGGAGCCACGCGCTCTCGGTTTTTCATGAGGGCATCTGCGTGGTTTTGATAACTGATGTCAATCAAGCTCCACAGGTCCTCCGTGCCACGAACGAATTTCTAACTTCTATTTCAGGTTTCTGACACACGGGGTGATCATTTAATAGACGCGCTGAACAAGATCCTGGCTGCCTGCGAAATGTGACTTTTCAATAGGGGCGTTTAGCAAACCGTTACCTTACTGCCGTTACCGTGGGCCCGACTACGCATGCGCGATTGCGTATCGTTTAAATCTTGTAAAATTTGATTTTAGCATACTGGGGGACTCGTACCGTGGTACCGGAGCTCGACTGGAGCATACCCTGGTGACAAAAGGAGACGGTGATAGTAGTAGTAGATTAGAGTTTTATGGCGCACAAGCAACTAGGGCTATGATGCGCCAGAAAATTAAACTATTGCGTAAGAGGGTTTAGGGGCTAATATAGAGCTTTAGTTGCTTGTAATTTATGAAGTTAGGAACATGAAAAATTATAGCATATAAGCAGGACCTTACAGTATAAAGAAGAATACAATTTGCGTAAAAAATCAATACTCTGTGAAAACTTAAAAAAAAAAAAATTGGGTGGGTGGGAGCAGTGGCTCATTACCAAGTAACACACACAGGTGTAATGGGACATATTCTTTGTAGAGCTGGGAGAAGTAGAGGCGTCGTTTATCATCATAAGCAGGACATTCGAGAAGGATATGTAAGATACTCAAACCTTCCTGGCAATGTTCATATTCAGGAGGATCTTCCCCACGTAAGAGGCGTCCATGCGTGAGACGCGTGGGCTAATAAAACCAGCCTCTGTGCCTAGCGCTCTCCCATTCACTGAAAAAAAAAGGCGTTATCATGTTCAGTTTGTTTGCCACCTGTAAACTTCATTCTACTTGCCACTGAGCTTTAGCATGATATTTGATTAGGGCACAGTAATATCTGAATGGGATGCTACTTATGTCTAGAGCAAGGGTACCACAAGTGCTCACAGCACTATCTATCTCTTCATTCCCTGGGATTCCGACATGGCTCGGTACCCACCAGAATAGAACATTACATCCTTTCCTGGTCGCTGCTAATATCTCGTTTTGCGGTAAAACAATGAGGGCGTTTTTTGTAAGTTGCAAGTGACGTCAGAGCTCTTAAGGCACTCAGAGTCTGTATATATGTATATTAATGGGCTACCGCAAGCGAAGGCCGCGCAGTTCAGCAGTGAAAACAGTCGCGGACGAATTTAGTCTACGATCACTTCTTACTGAAGGGCTAACCATGGCACAGCCAACGAATGATTCAGTTTCTGTGCCGTCTGTGTAGTAGTGGGAATGAGAATCATGCTCCTCGTGGAGTTCCCAAAATTCTTATCGCATGGCCTCAGTTGGGGTATCCTTCTTATTAAACTTCTTTAGCGAAAAATCACAGCGTATGCCGTTAAAATCCCATGGCGCCACCGTCTTTGCAACTGTAGCAACTGGGAGCTTACTGCCTATCCTCAACGGACTCTGCCGCATTTCGATTTCTCATCGCGAGTGGAGGGGTAATACTAGGCTTGTTTTGCAATGTACTCTGATATTCAGTGCCTTCCACAGCCTCCCGGGCTGGATGCTGAGCTACTGATCGTATCCTTAACGAATACATAAATCCCAGAGAGAGTCGCCGTCTGTCAAGGGACGTCTCATTTTCCTCAGCATAGAGACTGAGCACAGGGGACGTACTGAAGGCTCCCATTGCCAAACGAATTCCCTGATGATGAATGGGGTCCAGTGCGTTAAGAGCCGATTGCCTAGCAGATCCATAAACAAAGCTACCGTAGTCCGGACCTGAGCGAATCACAAAGTGATAAATTTGTAAAGGACACAAACGATCAGAGCCCCATGTCTTGTAGGACAGAACTTTAAGGAGGTTCAGTTATTTTTGACCTTTTATCTTCACGTTTTTTATATGAGATGTGAAGGATAGTTGACTGTCGAAAATAAGGCCCAAAATTTTGCGCTCTTTCTTTGCAGGGATGGGAATCTGGTGCATTCGTAAGGTTGGCTGTATAAAGATTTCCCTTTTTTGAGAGTAGTAAACGGACACTCTCTTATCAGGCGAAAACCTAAAACCATTTTCGTCTGCCCACTTCAGGAGGTTGTGGATTGCCACTTGAAGTCTACGTTCACAAATGGAAAGGTTGCATAATGAGACCGAGATCTGGAGATCGTCTACATAAAGAGAATATTGCACAGATGGAGGTATAAACCGGTCTATTGAGTTCATTTTCACTAAAAAGGAGTAACACTCCAGACACCGCCTTGCGGAACTCCAGTCTCCTGAACAAATTCTCTGGAGTGAGCCCAACTTAACAAAAAGGTTCGCTCAGAAAGATACCTCTTTATGATAGACATACCCCTACTTCATACAAGCGACGAAGAACTCCATAGCACCACGCTGTATCATATGCCTTATCCAAGTCGAAAAACACTGATAAGCAGTGTTGTTTATTAACAAAGGCTTCACGAATTGTAGTCTCTAGACGCACCAAATAGTCAACTGTGGAATGACAGTAACCGAACCCACGTTAATTTTTATCTAAAATGTTTTGTTTTTCTAAAAAAAGGACATGGGCCTTTTATTAATGATGCGTTCAAATGTCTTGCTTAGGCAACTGGTGAGGGTAATTGGGCGGTAACTAGATGCAAAGGAAACATCCTTCCCGGGTTTCAGAAGTGGTATGACAGTACCCACATTCCATGCCAGTGTAAATCTGCCCTCTTGCCAGACGGGATTGAAAGGGTACAGAATAAGGAGTAGCGTAGAAGGATGAAGGTGAGTAAGCATCCGGTAGTGTATACCATCAGGTCCAAGAGCTGAAGGCTTAGTTGAGCGAAGGGCCATTTCGAGTTCGTGCTGCGTGCGGGTTTGATAGTAAGCCTCACAAACACCACCCGGAGTCTTCACGGCATGTGCTTCCGCTCGCTCTTTGCATCTAATGGTGAATTCCGCTCGCAGATATCGAGCGCTCCAAAAGCGCTCCATTTGGAGCGCGCATATTCCGCTCGCAGATCTGGCTCAAGTTGGTCATCTTCCGCTCGTAGATCTCTGGCAGCGCCCGCTCCACGGAGCGCCCCAAACTCCGCCGAACTTGCTCTGCCCCCCGTAATGTCGAACCCGCGTGGTATGTAACGAATTCGTGACGTTGTTGGTCCTGGTCAGCCGAGGGGAGAGAGCTGCCCCGTTCCCGGGCGCGTTCCCGCGTAGCTCTCTCTCCTCGGCCTCAAATCCTTTCCCCGTCTTCCTCTCCCTCCCCCCATTCCTCATGGTGAATTCCGCTCGCAGATCTCGAGCGCTCCAAAAGCGCTCCATTTGGAGCGCGCATATTCCGCTC